AAGGAGGGAGGGAGGGAGGGAGGGAGGGAGGGAGGGAGGGAGGGCGGCAAAGAGAGACAGAGAGAGAGAGAGAGAGAGAGGGAGAGCGAGCACGCAGCCTGAAAAGCCATCTTAGCAGAACCTAGGCTTGGACAGGGACACACACACACGCACACACACACACACGCACCCACGCACTCACCACAAAAACCTGCAATATAGTTTAAGCTTACTTAACTTTACAAACAGTAGTATACCATGTGTAGAGTTGGCATTTACCTAATCATTTCTAAATAAAAGTTTTGTTTGTTTGTTTGTTTGTTTGTTTGTTTGAGACAGAGTCTCACTATGCAGTGCCTATTGTCATTGAACTTGAAATCTTCCTTCCTGCTTCAACCGCTGGAAACTATAGGTTTGAACCATGAAGCCTGAGTTAAATTCTACCTATGTCTGCATGCACATCATTTGTCCTGCTAAATAAAATTACATCCCCTAGATGTACTTATTTTAATTAATAAATATTTGGATTACAACCATAATAAACATTGTTATGTTCTCTTATAGTTGTTATCTATGCAAGAATTTACCTAAGGTATATACATGTTGAGAATAGTTATTTAGCTCTACAAGGCCAGATGGCTTTCTGAGCACCTACAGGGTGAAGTGTGTTTTATCACACCATTTTTATTACCATGTCCATGGCTTAGTTTTTCAACCAAGTGAAGGTAAAATAATATTGGTTATGGCCTTAATCAATCTCTTATGCAGGTACGTATTTTCATTTGTCTAATCACATGTTTTTTAAATGCCTTGGGTTTTTTTTGTATATTTTTTTAATCAGTTTTCTAAAGGATCATGAACAGAAAGTTAATAAGCTCATGTTCTTGGTATTTAATGCATACAACTTTGTAATATAGTGTTGAGGTAACTAAGCAGTGTGTCTGACTTTCACATGTGTTAAGAAGTGTTAGTAGCCTGTAGCTTTCTTTTCTCTGGCTATCCCTGATTTTGACAAGTTATATGAGCCTCACACAATAATGAGCCTAGACAATCTTCCCTCATCACATATGCTGTGAAAGTTTGAATAAGATTTTTAATAGTGATATTCTCTTTAAAAGAGGGGTAAAAGGTTGAGGCCAGCTGTATGTGTAAGGGAGGATGGCCCTGTCGGGCATGGGTGGGAGAAGAGATCCTTGGTCTCATGAAGGCTGGATGCCCCAGTGGGTGGGAATTTGAGGGTGGGGAGGTGGGAGTGGGGGGGATATATAGGGGCACATCCGCAGAGGAGTAGGAGGAGGGGTGATGGGATAGGGGGTTCCGGGGCGGGGGGTGCGGGGGGAATGGGGTAAGGGGATAACATATGAAATGTAAATAAAACATCCAATTAAAAAAAGAGTAGCTTAATTATAATTGATAGTGACATAATTAATGTTCATAAAAGAACGAAAACTAAAATTGTTTTCAAACGTTGCATTAATGTAGTTCTTATATTTTATTTGCAGCACTGAAGGCTACTAGGGTATTAAATGATCTGAGCTATTATCCATAAATTATGCACTTCCTATTATTATTTGTCAATACATCATTCCAGTATTCAATGTGACTGATGTATGTACACCAGTAACTCTGAAATTCTGGTCCACATCTTTTTTGGAGGAGGTTGGGGGTAGGTTTATTTTACTTTAAAATGATCAGCCTATAAAATTATGTAGAAATGGAAAAAAAAGGTTGAGGGCAGTGCTGACAAAAAAAAAAAACATCTTGATTTGTTCACTATTCAACACTACTGAACATGTCCACTTAGCTTCTGCAACACAACTAAAATTTCTCTTTGGAGAATTTAGTCTGTTGGATCCACTTTGTCTATTTACTTTCAGGGCCCGGCTTGTCTTTGTCCTGTGGTGAGGAACCAGCCCAGGGCCTTGCAGCTGAGGTGTGCAGCTATTCTTGCTCTATCTTTTTGTTGTCCTCTAATGTCCCCCTTTATTTGTATTGTGTCACTGCCTTCCTAAACCCCTTTTCACTGGGATGTTTCACCATCTATGTATTCTTTGAGAAGGTGGCCTTGAAAGTAATTCATGTGGATAACCACATTTAAACCTTACCTTGGCTTGGCTCCTGGATCCTAGCAGAAGCCCCTTGAAGGACTTTGATCCAACCGCCCTCCTCCTATCTCTTAACCAAGAGGTTTCCCAGTTATATCCTTATTTTAAAATTCCACATTAATGTTGCATAACAATATTTATTTGGTGTTACATTTGTCTACAATTTCCATTACAATTTCTTTAAATACTTCATTATGATTGTCTTATACAAATAACACTTTAAATTTACAATATTGATCGTTTTGTCTCTTCATTAACACTTTAATTTCAAATCTTGCTTCTTGAGTAATTTTTCTCATCAAGGACCATCCATTTTCAGTTTCTGTAATGAAGGTTTGTTTCTGAGTTTCACTTGGCACCAATTCTCACAGTTCCCCTCACAATTATGAAGGGATTTTACCTTCTTGGGTACACTGTTGCTACTGGGGGTCTACTGTGACTGACTGACTTGCCTTAGCTAGCATCTTTATAGCCCCTTTGGCTTTTTAGGAACCTTGTTTCATACTTGTGGTTCACTTGTGGATCTGTTTGTTTGCTTCTTCAATTATAAGTCTGTTTGATAATGTGTGTGCAGAAACCTGTTGTCTAAGTGGTGCCTCTCTTCCATTCTCCCTCCTGGTTCTCCTAGACCTTGTCTCTCCTCCCTCCTCCCAGTCCTGCTGCTCCACCTTCCACTTCTCTGAGCTCTCAGCCGAGTCTACTCCCACCCAACAGCCTGCAGGTTCCTCTCCTCCTCATTCCAAGAAGCACTACTTGGCTTTTACTCACACTATGGCTCTGCCTGTTACTCTCTACATTGTTGATGTAAACCTTAGGAAATGACTTCAGTGCTTTTTGGGGTTTTTTTTCCTATAGTTTATTTCTCCCCATCTCACTGCATCTTCTACTCATGATACATAATCAGGAAACAATATTGCTTGATCATAACTTATGGGAGTCTTGGGCCTAAGTTAGGAATGTTTCTAGCTTATTTCTGCCAGGAGCTTCACAGAACTACATGGGAAAGCTGCTAAATATTAACTGCTCTAAATACAATAGCATCTCAGATTTACATTTCTGTTTGTTTCTGGTTTGAGGCAAACACATACTGTAGTGCTGCTACTGGCATCTGCCATCCAAAAAACCAGTCCATGTGTATACTTAAAACAGTATTCATGGCCTCCAATTTAAACAATGTCCATAAAGTACTGCAGCTGGATGCATATTAGAAAAGTCCTTTAGGATGAAGATAATTCCTGATGATACATGTGCTATGGTTGCTACTGACTGCTTAAAGTTTCAATATTCTGATCAATGTGTGATCTGGCTCAATAGCACTAAACAATAGCTCACATTTTGACCTTTCTGAAAACACATAATAGTGATCTGTTACATGCAACTCCATTTAGATGCACAGTTTACTTTTGGAAACCTGGACCAGACAATAAAAGCAGGGCTAAGCAAGGCAGCTGGTGATTTCATGTAAGTCAGAAACTCATCTAACAGACATCATCGTAGCAGAGCTCGTTGCTAGGTTCAGTGCAGGTAACCATTGACGTCTTTATTTTTGTAGCTGTTGATCAGTGATTTCTGGATGATCAGGAAGCTCTTTGGGCCTCCCCCTAATCACTGAAGTAATGGAAGGAGATGCCCGCAGCAAGCATTGCAACTGCTAGTGCTATGATCACACCTAAGAGGGAAACGAACAAAACAATGCAAGTGGGATGAGCAAAAGAAAGAAGGTGCCACTGACCCTTAGGCTAGAGACGAGGCAACATGGCTTATATGACTGCACACACAGAGACGTACACACGTATGCACACACTACAAAATGTACGGATATGTATGGACTAAAATCCAGAGATGTCTTAGAGAAAAATATGGTAGCAAGTTGAAAAGCTAAGTCATAAAGGTTGGACAAAGTGTCTCTCTTACACAAATGCACACTAAGAGAAAAAGAAGAAATATTTTAAAAGCTTCTGTAAATATATGTGTGTATGTACGGACACATACATACATATAGGTACACAGGGACATACACATATACACACATACACAATATGCCAACTGTCTCATACTTAGATTATATGGAAACACAGCTCCAGTGGGTAGTGCTTCTCAATCATTATAATGCAAATTTATTTGTGTAGTTATCATCAACTTCGATCATACTCAGTAAATACTGTCTTAATCTAACATTTTGGTTAATTCAAATTAATTTTAAGATAAAAGGAAAACTCAAAATCAGGTCATTTTCAAAGTCATACAAAAAGCAAATACCTATGTTTTGCTGAATTTTCACTCCTATGGTTTTTTTTGGTTGTTCAGGTTGGTCATCACTTGTGTGGGTCAGTGAAGCCTCACTATTCACAGAGGAAGTCATACAAGCTGCAAGAAATCAGGACAAACTCTATATAAATTGAAAATTGCCATTTTAAAATAACATAATAAAGAATATACTCAATCAGCAGCATTTTCCTTCCACTATTTTAAAAGATCTATTTTTATTTTAAATTAATTTATTTTATGTGTGTGCGTGCGTGCGTGCGTGCATGTGTGTGTGTGTCAGTGCCTGTGTCTGCCTGTATGGATGTCTGTGCTGTGTGGCCAGTGCTTGTAGTGATCAGAAGAGGGCATCAGATCCTCTTTGGCTGGACTTGAAGACAGTTGTGAACCACCACAGAGGTGCTGGGAACTGAACCTGAGTCCTTGACTAGAGCAGCCAAGTGCTCCTATCCACTTACGTCGTCTTTCCTGATCCCGGATTATCTTTGTATAACATGAATTTGTTTGTTCATTACTCAATATAGGTGAGCTAAATTTCATGAATACATATCAAAGTGACTCAGTCCTCAAAACACGTGATTTTATTATTGACCTAAGCTGAACTGAATGAACACAAGTATATGAATGAGTGTGGGTGCACATGTTCCAAGGTAGGCATGTGGGGTCTGAGGACAACTTTTAGGAGTTTGTTCTCTCCCTTAACCAAGGGACTTGAGATGGAACTCGAGTCATCAGACTTTTACTGAGCTATCCCCCAAGCCCAAATGTAAGTTTTAACTTCATTATGCTGACAATAACTTACATACACATCTGCCTATGTGAATTTACTTAACTTTAATTAACAGAGAATTCTGGAGACTCACTTGATATCCCAAGAGTGGTAGTGCAGAACTGTTACAGAATTCTATGGAACTTTGCTTGAAAATAAGCATTTCAGCACGATTCCTTATTAACAACAACAACTAGTATAGCTCTGTGTGTGTGTGTGTGTGTGTGTGTGTGTGTGTGTGAGAGAGAGAGAGAGAGAGAGAGAGAGAGAGAGAGAGAGCATTAGAGTAGGTCACATTCAATGCTTAGATTTAATTACTGTTTCAATTTAAAATGCCACCATGTGTGCATCCCATTACACTAGTATAGCCGCATAAGGATGAAATAGGTATCTATACTGAGGTCATCAGTACTGACAGCAAGTGCCATCTTACCGGCCACCCAGGACTTGAATTCTTTAAATAGATGAGTTCCCTATCACCGTAGAACTGTAGTCAACAATTTATTCATTCATGAATATACACCATTAATTGGGCATAGTGTCACACACCTGCAATTTCAGTACTCAGGAGTCTGAGACAGAAAGATAGCAGCATATTTGAAGAAAACCTGGGCCACCGAAGCAGATCATGCTTTAAAAAGGGAGGGGCCGTGGCCTGAGATATAACTGAATGCAAGCGTGACTTCCTGCCAGTTTCATTCCTCACACCAAATAATCAATCAGCATTATTTATTTTCCTTTAAATTACTAATGGTTCCCAGGCATGTGAATATGCATGGGATCAGGAAAAAGGAGTTCAAGGCCTGCCTGAACCACACAACAAGACGTATCTCAAACGACTACGGCATGGGGATAGAGCTCAGTAGTAGGAAGCTTGCCTACCATGCACAAAGCCATGGATTCAACCATAGCACAGAAAATAATAAATGAGTAAATAATGAACATTTAGGAACAAAGAATAACTTGTTCTAACACCAGGACAGAATTGACAAAGATGAGTTTCAGCATATTTTAAAGGTGTGTCTTCAATTTATTTTTATCTGATAGTATAGACAAAGTACATGTGAATTACAAGCTAATGTCTAGGCGGTGACTAACACATCCAATTTTAATGCCATGCTTATCCTTCACCATTAGTGAGTCAGTTTGACAAACAAATTGTATTTTTATCCCTTAAGTCCTTTAAAAGTATGTTATTTAGAGATATTTACATGGTAGAATATGTATTTTTAAACATAGCAACTACTTGACAACTATATTATAGAACAAAAATAATAGTAATAGTCAAGAAAATAATTTCAAAACCTTTGAAATAATACCAAATATTTAGAAAGTTTACTTGTCCTAAATGTATGACATTTCCATTTCTGATCGCAACTATTTTCAAGGGGTTTATTGCATATAGAAATCCTGATATACTTATGTAAATCTGAGTACATTTTATGTTCATACTTTAACACTGATATTTCTGTTAATGTATAGAAGTTCATTGAGAAGAAACTAATTATGTGATAAAGCACTGTACCATCCTTCATTTATTATGTATTTCTTTTTAGAAAATACTCCAAAGGTACTGCGGCTTAGAAAGGTTTTAGACAGGTTATACAACTATTAGTGGCAAGCCTAGACTCAAATCAAATCACAACAAGCCTTTCATTATGCATCTAAAACAAAAAAATAAAACTACACACTCAATGTGTTTGAGTAAATGAAATAAATAGACAAATGAAAATAATCCTAAACAAATAGGAAGTTTAGCTAAAAACCCTTAATATAGCCATCAAATTTGTGGTTTTATTACCCAGCCCCATAATAATAAAGAGCACAGTAACTATTAAAACTATCTATAATTATTAAATCATCCCATTTGATTCAACAAATTCTGAGTGAGGCAAAAAAATGTACTTCTAGACAGTTTTTATTCTTGGCTACATCTCAGACCAGTGTTCAGCTCCTAAAATGCCTAGTCAGTTTTACTCAATTCTTTCTTCATTATCAAGTTAAAGTCAAGAAGTGTCCCCGAGTCCCATATAGAGATGGTGCCCCTGCTGCATATCTGGCAATCTGTCCACTTTTCTATTACAGACCTAATTACCTTGTTTACAACAATCTATTTCTCTGTACATTCTACTGTATTCCAAGAGTCTTGAGAAGTACCACAATAGTGTACCTTTAGAGTCCTAATGTTTAATATATTATAGGCAATCAATACATAATAATACATTTTATTAGCTTGATTATGATTCATACAAGTTTCAAAAGCAGGGTAGAGTCTGAAAAGGTTATATTTACTAAAGTGAAAGGTAGTATTGTCAGTCCATGACTCAATCCCAGAAACCGAAGAGTAAGCACAATCCACGAAGTTATGGTTTCCTATCAGTGTGGTTTCTATAGTAACATATTATACATCTAGGTATCCATACCTGTCAAACTACTTCTTTGTTCCCTTTGTTCCTGTAACATTGGTACCTTACTATATTCTCTGACATCAGTCTATCTTTAAAAATCAGATTATAGAATATTGTTGTATTTTAACTTGCTCGGTTTAGACAACAGAAATCTTTTTTTTCCTCACAGTTCTGAAGTTAGAAGCTGAAGGTCAACGTATTAATATTCTTGGTTTCTTCCAAGTACACCCTCCTTGGCTTACAGCTATCTCCCTGACTCTTCCTTGGTGTGTAATCGTTCCTTGTGCCCCTTTATACACAGAAATTTTCTCTTGTTAAAAGGATGCTAGCACAATTTGATTAGAGCTTATGCTAATGATATCATTTAACCAAATCATCTCTTAAATATCTTCAAACAGTCATAGACTAAAGTACTTGAAGTTAAATATATTGGTGAGGGTGCGTATATAATTCTACCCATTCTGGTAATTCTTGGGATGGTCTACTACATAGTATTTGGTAATGCTAATAAATAACTGTTGTCTTATGAATACATAACATGATGGTATACTTTCAGTAATTATTTTAGAGTGTACTCCTACTTATAAAAATACAGTTTAGGCCAGTGATGGTGCACACCTAGCAGAGGCAGGTTGATCCTTGAAGCTAGACTTGTCTACATAGGAAGTTCATGCCCAACCAGGGCTACATAATGGAGACACTATCTAAAAAAAATTTTTAAATCTTACTGTATAAGAGTGAGTCCTGAGGTGATGATAGCTCAGTTGCATTTGCATAAAATGAAAGAGGCTCTCGGTTCATCTCCAAAAAGCATGTCATGCTCCATCAGTGTCAGCCGCATACATCTCATGTTTGCCTGTCTCTTTACCACACCAAGATTATATCATATTGAGTGACTGACTTATACCAGTTGGTGTGCGTTAAGTACAGTCTCCTTATGATGTTCACACAATGAAACTGATTTTAACATTTCACTGTTAAAAGTACATGAATGTAAAGCTAATTTGGTGAACTATTTTAAGAATGGCAAATCAGAGTATATTTAATAAAGTAGATTTTCTTTTATTTCTTTAAGTCATTAACCCATTGAAAGATACAAGACATTTCCTAGCAAATACACAAATATTTTCAAGAGGCTTGTAGGCCTTTGTAAGCCAATTCAAAAGCCTAAGACTTTTGGTATCACAGATAAGAAATCCCTGAGCCAGAGAAAGGCAAAAGGAGGGAAGGAGGAAAAAAATGTTGTTTGGAAACTTTAACAAAGAGAATAAAGTCTGTGGGACTATTTGGCTCTAAAATATTTAGAAGAGTTAGCCTCAACTCTAAAGCATGAATGCAGTCAGGAAACAGTGCAAGTGTTTTATAGGTCCATATTCTTGAATGAAGTATAGGTTACAGGAAGGATAACTGTTACTCAGAATAAGGAAGGAAACTGTATATGCATCATGGGATATAGATTTTTATACCAAAAGAAGAAAAGATGAATTACAGAAACTCTCAGGATCACATCAATATTTAAAGAGCCATTTAGTACCCAGTGGTTCCCAACCTGTGGGCTATGATTCCTTTGGGGGTGGAGAGGGTATTACATATGAAATCCTGCAGATTAGATATTTACCTACGACTAACAACAGTAACCATGAGCACTGTACTATTCCCTGATGGGGACTGGGAATTAAATAGAACTGAGTAAGATATCAGAAAAAGAACTGTTAAAATGGCTACATTCCATTTAATAAACATTCATATTCAAAAGGAATCCAAAAATTTTCTACAAACCAAAAATTTCTAAAATAAGCTGTTTTTACTCAGTACCTATTAATATTTACAAATAATTAACCTTATTATGTAACATTTAGAAATATATTTGCACATTTCTTTACACATTTTATGTCTTGTACTTACTACAAATAAAAAAGCAAATCAGATGAAACCTTCCAAAGGTTAAGATCAAATGTGCAAACAAAGGCTTCAGGCATCATTGGGCTACACAATCAGATGTACCGAAGGTATACGCTCTACCCACATCACCTTCATCTGACTTCTGGACCCACTCACCTGACTTTCGTGTCCCCCTTATACAATGAGGGCATAAAGGAAGTGACCAATTACACAGAGAGAATTTTATAAAACAGTTTGAGAAAAAATTTTCTCATATTGAAATAAATATTTGAAAGCTACATATTTCCACATATTTAAGGCTGTATTTGTCTCATGAAGAGTCAAAAAAACTTGATAGAGTCAAAAAAACATTTGCTGTGTTTTAAGTTTGAGTAAAGTTTCCAAAGAAGCAAACACTCACTGTTTTTTTAATGTGTAGAGATCTATCATGTGTGTGTGTTTATACATATCTCAGTTAATATTTCAAAGTAGTAAACAGAATTAGCTTTAAAAAACAGGAAGGCATGGTGAGTTTAGGTGTGGTTTCAGCAAATTTTAATTACCTGTGTTTACTTCCTCTGCAATTTCCAAGTCTTCTATTTGAATCTCATGATCTAACATCTCTGAAAAATGGTCTCTGATTTCTTCAGCTGATTCATCGCCAAATTTATAATCACATAGCATTACCGTTGATCCAGGAAGGGGAACAAAAACTCGCTGAGGAAGCTCATAATCTGAAAAGAAATATTATAATGTTTACTTCAAAAATATAAAAATATCTGTTGAAGCTTGAAGTGACAATAATGTCTTACTTTCTAATTGACAAAATTGTCTTTATTGAGTTCTTTGTTTCGTCAATTCCCCTGTCTTCTTCAAAGGGCTCTAAGCAATATGTCTATGAAATATACACCTCCTTGCCTTTAGTGAGGAGATGTTGCTAATCACACGTCCTTATAGGACCCACTATGTCCTATGATGGAATGCTTGGTCAATTTTATAACTCCCTGATAAATAGCCACCTTTTTGTTTGTTTTAATCTTGTAAGTATTGTGGATTTTATTGCCAACTTTTTCTTCATTTATGCATACTTAAAGTCAAAACACGGGCCTTCCCTATCTCTGTCTCCCTAACACTGGGAAGAGAAGTCTATGCCACCACACCTGCCTTTATTCTGGGTATTCATGCTTGGGTACAAGCACTTTTATCCAGTGAGCCATCTCCCCAGCCACCGTGTTTCACCTTTCTTTGGATACTTGCAAATTAGACTATATGTCTCCAAATTTCTAAGATACTTACTAACTACATAAATATAACTGCTATTAATATCAAGATGCATCTCTAACAAACTAACACAAAAGTAGACTTTATTGTAAAAAATAACCACTTTGTCTGCATCAAATATGATTAAAAAGCTATCAATACAAAGATCGAGTAGAAAATTGGGGTCATTTCGTTAGCAATCTACACTTCCTCCTCAAGAAACTAGGGTTCCTTTATATAACTACAAACAGAAGATGTTGAAGTATTCCCTAAGTTCATGGGGAATACAGTGACATAAACTAGATGATTATTCCACTTTTGCTGTATGATCTCATTTGCGTAGAACCAAAGAACAATTTTACTGTTTGACCACACTGCCTCCTAGTGTTAGGATTATATAACTGCAGTTTGTAGCACAGCATGCAAAACTAGGATGGAATTATTTTAAACCAAATGTACTTGAATCTAAAGTTAAAAATTCAAAGACGGCTTTAATATGCATGGATAATTGATGTACAAAATTTTAAGTGCACTTTAAATTTGGATTCTGAATATCTGCCTGAAGAAAGAATGTTATAAAACTGAATGTCAAAGAATTGGTTGCAATACATTTAATGACTCATTAAAATAGACAGGGGAAACTACTTAGAATCAGAAATTCACTCACCAGCAGAATAGTAGGAAAGGAGACACAAGGGTGTACTTTCAAAAAGCATATCTAATATTACTTTTGAGTATAAAATTATGTTAATTTGAAAGCCGGGACCAGGAAGCGTATGCATACTACTAGATGGAAGAAAGATCATCAGTCTTATCTGCTGTGACCCTGGGAGCCTCAGTGACAACTGGCCTGGAAAGACATGTCTACTGGTGAAATAGGCATGAATGTCATGAGGGTAACCAATCCGTTTCTCACTGGACTAAGAGCTTGCTCCACAATTTGAAAGTTGTACCTAGTACCAGGTTAGGGCAAGAACATGTGGCTGGCTAGGTCACAGGCCTTAGGTCATACACTGTTATGCTGGTAAATGGGCATCACATTAAACTGACTGCTAATGACTTATACTCTTAGATTAGTGAATCTCTCAACCAGGGAAGTCTCTTCTGCAGTAAATAGTAATTAATCCAGAGACTCACAACTGGTCATGGTGCAGAGAATGAGAGACTACAGATGCTCAGCACTAAATGGGGCATCTACACCACAGTCCATCTTCTCAAGGCCCTGGGATTACTGCAGAAAAGGCGCAGAAAGACTGTAAGAGCCAAAGGTGATGGATGACTATAAAACAGTCTTTTCCAGATACAGCAGAGCAATTGCATAGACGAACACAGAGCACCTGTGACAGCATGCATATGATCTGCACAAACTCAAGCCATACAATTAGGCATGTTCTAGTGGAAAACAGCACGTCCAAAAATACACGCTCAGTACAACTATATCGGCTGTGTTTCAAAACAAACAAATTTGAGTGGGTAAGGAGGATCTGGGAAAAGGTGATGCCAGGAGTGAATATAATCAAAATACATTGTAAGGAGGGCTGGAGAGATGGCTCAGCAGTTAAGAACACTGGCTGCTCTTCCAAAAGTCCTGAGTTGAATTCCCAGAAACCACATAGTGGCTCACAACCATCTATAATGTGATCTGGCGCCCTCTTCTGGCATACAGATGTACATGAAGATAGAGCACTCATACACTGAATAAATAAATAAATAAATAAATCTTTTTTTGTTTTGTTTTTTGTTTTTGTTTTTTTGAGACAGGGTTTCTCTGTAATCCTGGCTGTCCTAGAACTCACTGTGTAGACCAGGCTGGCCTTGAACTCAGAAATCCGCCTGCCTCTGCCTCCCAAGTGCTGGGATTAAAGGAGTGCACCACCACCGCCAGCTATAAATCTTTTTTTTCTTTAAGGTAAGAAAAAATTGAAAAAAAAAATCTCAAATAACTAATTTTAAAAACGAGAAAAAAAATAGGTTACAGCACATTAAAAGGCTCTTCCTTGGAACTGACAAATGTTGGCCCTTCGCTAATAGAAAATGTTCAAAACATAATAGTGGAAGAGGGAGCAACAGAGAAGATTTTACTCAGCAATAAAAGTAAACGACAGCTTATTGTTATAAAACATGCTACAGAATGATATACATGTTAAATCTTGACATCTTACTATATGAAACTGTTCAAACAAACACAAAAAATACTTATAGTCATACTTTTTTTTTCTGGAGTTTCATTCAAAAGCAGGTCCTCAAATAGTATTTCACAGCGATCAGCAACTGTGTTCAAAATATCTCTCTTCACTGCCTATGGGAGTGGGGGAGCATAAACACAGTAAGAAATAAAATGCTTCAAACTTGAATTATTTCATTAGAAGAAAACCCATAATTTGCTTTCCGGAGTAAAAATGGAGTAAAAATGTCCACACGGAAAATGACGCATTATTCCATTTATTATTGTTATCTACTTAGCACACCCATTACTATTATTTTTAACACATTTAATGATAAATTTATATAGCCCACATTTAAATAGTAAATTAGTGCCAAATAAAGAATTAAATATTTCATCTAAACAAATCTTCCCAATATTCCAATTAGGAAATGTACTATGAGGTAAAAGTAAGTCATCTTTTAAAAACAGTACCTGACAATTCTTCTTTTGAATATGTCTCCTGTTAAGAATCTGAGCTTCCCTCAAAAGAAATATTTTAAAGGTATATTACAAGATACTGATATACTACAAGAGTGGAACACTTACTAAGTCCACATAGACATTCTACACATAAAAACCTAAAAACAGAATGAACCTTTACTAATTAAGGTCAAATTAATAATCATAAAATTAAGATAGAAAGAAAATAAACTTCTAGGATTTTTTCCTATTAGGTTGTCTCTGATGTTCTCATCTCTAAGTGACTCTTTGGTACCTGCACAGCATCTTTAACCTTGGGTCTGTTGCTATGGATATAAGCTCTGCACTTCACATTTCCCCGGAGGTTTACAGACCCACTGCAGATCTGGACTGTGGCTGTGGATCTGTGGTCTGGATTCAGGAGCTGAAAGACAAAACCCATTTTAGTTTTAACAGTCCTAATATTATTAATGAAACATGTGACCATCATGTAACCATTTTATTAAAAAAAAAAAGGGTTTTTTGCCTAAGTACTCAAAAATATTCTCTGTAAGTTATCAAAGGTTCTTTATATGTCTTTTAAACCAAGTATATCTCAATATTTTCTCATTAACATGAATGTTTAAAATACTTAGTATTTACTATCTCCTAAAAATACATTACTTGTGGATTCCTCAGTTAAGTATTATAAAGATAAAAAGATGCATAGAAAACATGCTGCAGTAGGAGACACAGGTACGGAATACAGGAAAACCACAACAGTGTACAAATTAGGACACCATAAATATGGTAAAAATCTAACCAACAAATAGACACACATTTCTGTGCTTTCAATACGTAACTTTTATATGCTAAAGGGAACCTATGCTTTCCTCATGTAAGGACCTAACACCAGCTAGAGCTGTCAGCACAAAATGCTATTAATGGTTTCAGAGAGATGACATAACTGTTTTCATTTCACAAGTCCTACTGACTTCAGTCTACACTGAAGACAGGTATTCTATACCTTTTGTTTTCCAGATGCTTCAACATTTAGATTATTATTATTTCATGCAAACAAATGCTTTGCCTGGAACATATGCCTGTGTACATGTATGTGCAGGACTGAAGAGGCCAGAAGATGGTGTCATAGTTATAAATGGATGACTGCTAGCTGCCATGTGAATGCCAGGAACCAAGCCTAGGTCCTCAGCAAGAACATCAAGTGCCGTCACTGCAGCCCCAATTCCAGACACATTAACTCTGACTGTCTTAAGTGCTGAAACAAAGAAGGCATGGTAACAATGAAAGTACTTCTCAAGGCCTAGCATCACAAGGGAAAGGGGGGAAAGATTAAAACAAAACCAAGTGTCAGTCCCAGTCTCTGAGTTCAAATCAGTCCTGCTGCCTGGAAAATGCTGCTTCCCAGAAGTCATCTGTGAGAGCCTCCGCTCTCACAGTCTTTCCACGTCCTCCTCTGCATAGAGGAGAAGGGTGTGATAAAGACTCTCATTTAGGGGAGAGTGCTCCAAAGACTCTCACTTCCCTAACATTGTACAACTGTAGCTAATTACCACTTACTGTGAGAAGCTCCTCTGCTGAGGATGTATAAATATGTTATTAGGAATCATAAAATGTCTACTGCTATGCTGATTTAGCAGAATAATGGTAGGTTATCCCTGTGGGCCTATGACCTATCTAGTCTCAGGTTCCTGACCTTACTAACGGTGCCAGGTATGGTTCTATCGCTTGAAGGAGGCTTTAAATCCAATTAAAAAAAGAAGTAGCTGAGCAAGTGGGCATATCTTGAAGGCCAAGTCATTATCGTAGCTCCTGGGATTTATGGCAGCATAAGACATGATTATTTCTCTCCTCTGGAAGCATATATAATTCAGCCTAAGTGCACATCATGAACTCAAAGAGGCTGTGATAGCATGTGTAAGACCCAAACAAGTTCAAGCCAAACAAAACCCCAGCATGCAGAAGAGGAAGTGAGCATAAAGTACTACTCCTAGCTAAAAAAAAAAAAACCTATTTGCTGGAAGAGAAAAAAGAAAATCAGTTTTCTACAATGGAATGACACTGAGTATATGAAAACACACTCCAGGAAAGGCCCCATGTCAGTTGTCCAACACAGAGCAGACTTAATTTAATTTATATGTGTATGAGCATTTTGCTTACATGTCTGTCTATGCGCCATGTAAGGGCCTGGTGCTCATACAGGCCAAAAGAGGGTGTTGGATCCCCTAGAACTGGTGTTAACACCCAGTCGTGACCCCCCCATGTCGGTGCTGGGAATTGAACCTTCCTTGACATATTTAAGAGCAGTCAGCGTCCTAATTGATGAGCCATCCCTCCAGTCCCAGACTGGATTTTGCTTGCTTGCTTGTTTGTTTTTTATTTTATATTTTAGGAGCTTTTTGTTCATTCATTTTGCTTTGTTCTGTTTGAGACGGGGTTTCTCTGTGGAGCCCTGCCTGTCTTAGAACTTGCTTTGTAGACCAAGGTTGGCCTCAAACATAGATCTGCCTGCTTCTGCCTCCTATGTGCTGTAACTAAAGGTGTGCACCACATGCCTGACTATATTATACTTTTAAAAGAGAGAGAAATCAGAAATTTGCCCAGGAAGGAGATCTGGAAGGACCTGAGGGTAGGGAAAAAATAATGTTCAAAATATATTGTATAAAATTCCCAAAGAACAAAAAACAAACAAATAAATGACAACAATAACACAGCAGCAACAACAAAAACAAGTCATAAGAATGTAATTTTTGTCCCAAGTATACCTGGAATAAATAATTAACAATTAAGTCCATTCTTGGAAAATAAAAGCAAATAAAAAAACTTGTGAAAAGTGCTATGTGCCTATAAACCTATGTACTCAAGAAGACAGGAAATAAAATAAAGAAGCAGAAAGAACTTTTAATATGGTCCTTAAAAGGCAAGAATATTCAAGGTATAATGTATGCAATTTACCACTACACCACCCCCAAAAAAGCCTATTTTAAAGCTAATTTTAAATATTTTTTCTAGATTATTTATTTCACTTTACGTATACGAACGTATTGCCTATATAGATGTGTATAGACCACATATATGGCTGTTACAGTCCCTGGAAGTAAGATCAGTGAAAGTTGTAAGTTTCCTTCTGGGTTCTGGTTAAAGGAACTCTGGTTCTCTGCAGAGCAACGAGTAATTTAATAGCTGAGCTATCTTTCCAGCCTTTAAAGGTATTTTTTAAAACTCATATTTAATCATTGTGGCATTCTTATTAAGAAAACAAAACTAAACAAAACAGAATCTGTTGGAGCTGGAGAGATCATTTAGTGTTAAGAGATCTTGTGTTCTTGGAGAGGACCCAAGTTCAGTTCCCAGCACCTACAAAGCAACTCAGAACCATTGGTACCTTCAATTCCAAGGAAGTCAGCACCCTCTTAATTGCCTCTTCAAGGATTTGGCACACATGTGGTATGCATACATACATGCAAACCTCACACACAAAGTAAAGATTTTTAAAATGTCACCAAATGAAGCAGCAAGATGAAAATGCTGATCTAATATTTGCATAAGATACCCACTGTACATATAGAGTTCACTGATACACGAATAAAGTAGAGAACAATGGGGTTTCCTCACATAGCTTACAAATCTTTACTGTAGATGAAAACACTTTATTTTGGGAATAAGTATATTTAATATATGTAACATAATTTAAGATACATTTTATCATATTTTAATAGCTATAATACACATGTATTAGGTAGTTTTCTAAAATAAACTATCTTATAAAAAATACTTCCTACACATGAAGGAAAGGATTTTAACAGCTATAAGAACTGACATGGTGCCTTTTTGGTTAAAAAAAAAACCAAACAACTTTGCTGTGTTCTACAAACATTAAGGACTGCTATCTACATATGAATACAAACTGTTTTACAAACAGCCTTTAAGAATCTAACGGGGGAAAATTGAGGGATCCAAAAGGGAGAGGGACTCCACAAGAAGATCAACATAGTCAACTAACCTGGGCCCTTGGGCTCTCAGAGACTGAGTCATCAACCAAAGAGCAAGCATGGACTGGACTTAGGCCCCACACACATATGTAACAGATATGCAGTTAGGTCTTCGTGCAGGTCCCCCAACAACTGGAGTGGATGCTGACCCTGACTCTGTTGCCTGCCTGTGGATCCTGATCCCCTAATGGGCCTCATTGTCTGGCCTCAGTGGGAGAGGATGCACCTGGTCCTCCAGTGAACTGATAAACCAGGGTAGTCCTGCAGTGAACTGATAAACCAGGGTAGATTGATACCCCAGGTGGGATTGGGGGTGGGGGGAGAGACAGGAGAGGGAGGACTGTGATCAGGATGTAAAGTGAATTAATAAACTAATTAGTGAAAAAAAGAGAATCTAATGCATTCATAAGAAAAGGAGTTTTTTGGTACTAACATAATGGTTTGGGAAAAAATGATCACTCAAGCTTTGCTGACCAAATGAGACCCACTGGAACTACTGGGATTTGGGAGCTAGGATATTTTTTTGAATAATGATTTTTTTATTCTTTGAACATTCCATACATTAAACAATACATCTATCATGACCTCCTTCCAAATCTCCCAAGTGCCTTCTGCCTCCTAACTTCATGTCTTTTTTTATACTTCATATTTTTATTTTTGTTAATAAATTGGAGCTGGATGTTGACGGAATGCTAAGGTGGAATTCTGACTAAAGGCGGCGGGACACAGATGGCATGGGTTAGAAACATTGTTTAAGAATTAAAGACACCACAGCAGACATCTAGAATAGGTTAGAAAATAAGAAAGAAAATAATGCACTAATATTGTAAAGTGCCTTGACTTAGACATTTTAACTAGGCAGTATCAAGAAGTAAGTCAAACTAGTAAGGGCCACTATGTAAAGAGCAGCACGTCTTGAGATAAAGGACACCTCGAAAACCCAAAGTCAAGTAGAAAATACAAAACAAAAAAGTACTGTTAATTACTGTGAAAAGAACACTGGGAACTATGTGGAGATCCAATGCCAACTTAACAATATTATACAGTTAGACACAGAGCTACATCATGAATCCAATGGTCTCCATTTGCTCAACTTAATTTAAAAAGCTGAAAGTTCTGCTAATATTTCTGGGTTTCAAAGTTTAGAGTACCACTGAAATCAAGATTCTTATTCTTCCTATAATCATGGTCTGTTCTCCAGGACAGCTTGAGGCAGTATTAAAATGAACAGCATTTAAAAATAACTAATAGGGATGCAGAGATGGCTCAGTCATTGAGAGCACTGACTGCTCTTCCAGAGGTCCTGAGTTCAATTTTCAGCAACCACATGGTGGCTCACAACCATCTGTAATGGGATCTGACGCCCTCTTCTGATGTGTCTAAAGATAGTGACAGTGTATGCACATACATAAAATACATAAATAAATCTTTAAAAAAATGGTTTTAATTTAAGTGATTTTTATTTAATTCAGTTTGTTTAATATAGCCAACTTTAAATTTCCAAATAGATGTATAATTTTAAAACCTCATGAAGAAAAAAATGAAATCTGCTAATTAATATGTGGGAGTATTTTCAGATTTATGTTATTTTTTGAGTGTAAGTGTTTTGTCTACATGTATGTCTATGTACCATGTGTGTGCCTAGTACACATGGAGGTCACAGGACACTGGATTCCCTGGAACTAGAGTTATGGACAGTTATGAGCTACCATGCGGGTGCTGGGAATCAAACCACTCTCTGCAAAAATAACTAATGCTGTGAAACACTGAGCCACTGTTCCAGTCCCCCTTTGGAGATTTTCATCAAATTAGAGTATAAGATAAAGATATACTTTAAGTATATGACAACTCTCAGTACATCAACACATAACATCTTTTAAGTTTCTAAGAATTCTAACTTTATCAAATCAACAGCTCAAAAATTTAAATACATACATAGACACTCATGTGATTCTGTATATGCTTTTAAAGTTGTTACCTACCTGCTTTAATAGCCTTGAGACAAAAGGGCTCAAAATGGTTTAATCAGAGCAATGCTTCTTGGGAGTAATTTTCTTATAATTGAATGTTTTATATAGCTTCACATCTTTCTATATTTTTTAATTCATATAATTATATTCCCACTATTTCATTATGTTTGATGAAATAATTTATTTTAAATAAGTGATCTTAAAAATATTTACCAACTGTGTTAGCACTCGGACATCAAAAGAATGAGCAGTTGCTTGCGTATTTCCTCTACTTTTTTTCTAAAAAATACAAGTGAAAGACAGAGTGTTAAGATTGCATATGAAAAATAAAGAACAATTTAGGAACTATACTACATTTTCTATGCGGGCTACATTTTCTAAATAGCAGGGAGAAAATATCTTAATAATTTTAAAGTTGCTTTTTTTATAGACACATTGTATTATATATTCTGTATCAATCAATTATTCTTAAAAATTATTCTCTACTTTATTTTTTCTAGATTTGAGATTAGTAAAGTATTTTCTGCAGGTCAAACTCACATTCCCACCTTTCTCTGTAAATAGTTATTGGAACAGTTTACTGTAACAGATCATTCTTCTTTATCTAAGGTTACTTCATGGGACAACAGCAGAGATGAATAGCTACACAAGAAGACCTGTCTTCTAAACCCAAAGCAGTTACCATTTGTCTTTTTCCAGTTTGCAGATCCCGGCTTTACAGGAAAGATCACCTTCACTTAGGTCAAAGGTATTTGAGAGACCCTAGTAGAGCCTTCCATACAGAATTATAGATGGTATTTAGTTTTGAATAAGCTTTTAAAATTTGGAGATTAGATAGACTTTAGATGCAGATGACATTCCTAGTTCCAGGATTCAGTACCTTAAGTTTACCTCTTCCTGCCTCTTCCTGCCACTTTCTGGGAGAAACTTTTGCCCTTTACTTTAAAAGATACTAGTGCTCAGGATGGTGATGGTCACCTGTAATCCCAGGACTTGGGAGGCAGAGGCAAGCAGACCTTTGTGAGTCTCAGGCCAGGGCTACAGAGAGACCCTGCATGAAAATATATATATTAAAAACAAAAGATCCTAGAAATGAATAAGCGAGACCGATTTTAATGAAAACAAGGACTAAAGATAAATCTATTTTTCCTTAAAAGAATTATTTTGTAAATAAGACAATGTTTTACTTAACTCACCTGTCCTTCTAATAGGTCACAATCGTTGCCTTTAACTTGTCCATTAATCAGATAAACAGCATTTTCTATTTGCTTGGCCCAGCGTGTAAGTCCACTCTTGAAAATGACACAAAATCTTTCAGATATAGTTATCCTAAACAAGCCTCCTAGACTGTATGATTCTCCACCTACTACACTGAAATCTTGAAAATGTTCAAGTGTCAATAACACAATGTCTAAATCCAGTATCATAAATTAAAACACAGTCCTAATCATTTAGCACCTTATCCATATTTAATAAATTTTCTGATCTTTTCCTAAAATGTGTACCATAAACTTCAAAGTCTTAAGTACATGAGCATAGAAATAAAATCCAGTAGTGCCTTTGATCTTTTAAAAAGCAGACATATGAGAACTGTGCATCATAAAGCAGTAGTAAAGAAGAGAAATTAGATATACACAAAAGAGAGATGGAGAAAAACAAAGGAATGAAAACAGAAAGGCAAAATGAATCAGGGTCAACAGAAGGTCATCGTTAGATCTATGGACATAATTAAACTCTACACATGCTGATTAGCAGATATTTATTAAGCTCCTGCTATGCTAAAGATACTAGTATTATGATATTATTTATGCTAAAAAATTTCCTAATCCAGCCAGAGTAACAAGTTCTTTATGCAGATAACAACAATCATTTAAATTAGAGTACAAGTTTTGAGGATCCTAAATGTCACAGCCAGATTAACAGCAGAGCGCCCGCTCAGCCATCACTGAAGAAAACATATTTTACATTGATACCTTTGTGTTTTTTTCCAGACTGTAACTGACAGAAGTAGCCGACAGTGGGATGTGAATGTTAACGTGAACAGTACAATCTAAAGACAGCCATGAGGCAGACACTCGACTCTGATACTTCCAATCTGCAGGTCTTGACGAACTCTTTATCAGGAAAGAGGTAAAAAAAAAAAACAAACAAACCATGATATGGCTTAGGAAAAACACATGCATTAAGAAAATAATGTAAGGTATAAAATCAATAACTCAAACAAGCTAAAATCCTGAACTGTTGACCAAATTCCCTGATTTAAGGGAAACAGAAGTAATAAAGTGATCATGCATTAATTTAGTACTTTCATACAAGCTTGACAATCTTGGCCACCCTCAAGGGGTAGGTAGAAAAGGGATCAGAAAGCTGTGGAACATTCTAACCGGTGCTCTAGGTACCCACTTCCCTGGTGGCCTGGACAATCCACTGTAAAGATGCTGGTTACAGCAAGTGCTCACCGAGCTGCCCTCAGATGGCTGTGCTCTCCGTGCTCAGTTATTTTCACACTGCTTTTAAGCAAATGCTGGTCTGGTTTCTGAACCACACTGGGAGCTGGCTGACTATGCATTGCAGCTACACAAACTCCTCAGTCGCCTTTACCACAGCTTCTCAAACATAAACCAGGAGATTAACAAAACAAAGCAAAAAATTGCAAGTGGTCATACACACTGAAAAGAAGTGATGCACTCGAAATTGGTAAAACTAAATACAAAGATGAATTTTTACTTTTAAAACAGAAAAAAATCTTTCAAGAGTGGTTTTGCTTACCTTTGGATCATGAACATCATAAGTTCGACAAGATATTCTTTACTAATTAAGGTCATAAATTATTCCAAAAGAATTCTTGATAATAAAATATAATCCAAAAACTAAAAATGGTACCTACCTCCAAGTGCCTACAAATTACAGTATGTCATATACTTAAAAAGCATATATATATATATAAAAGGCATATAGATATTTAAGTATACATTTATGTAAATAAGTATTTATGTATTATGTATGTATATTAATTGCTGACTATAGTACTTATGGTGCTTAAAAAAGCAACCAAAACACAAATTTCCTTCTGCTTATAAATACTGCTAACCATAATAAATGAAAAGAAGTACCTTTGGGTTCTTGCTCCAGTATGCGCTATGTAGCATAAAGGAGTGCTATCTGGATGGGATCAAGCCCAAAAACATTTGTTCTTATAGGCGTAAAGAACATTTATGCCTATAAGAACTTATATGCACTGATTTACTGGGTTCTGATACTTTGCAGGCAAGTGTCAAATTGTATTAAACACACATCTTCTGCAGTAAAAGTTTCTTTTTGGATTTTGTCTTCTCCAAGTCCTAATGTAGAGGATCTTTGGGCTGTGTCTCTTCTTTAGTGACTGTCTATCCTGAGGAGCTACAGAGGACAGAGTCTAAGGAAGCCACGTGACATACAAAGGCATAAGAATTTCTACACTACCCAGCCCAATTCTGGGTGCTTCAAATTGCACATTTTAGCTTTAAGAAATGAGGGTGAAAATTATAATAACATAACAAAAACCTTAGCTGCTTTAGCTTGTCTCTGAGAAGAACCTACAGTGAAAACTATACATGGACAGAGAGCTGGCAAAGAAATCAGAATCCTAAATCCTTTCTCTATCAAACTTTACCTAACTCAGCCTATGATTAATAGCCATTATTACTATTAATATCATTATCAGCAGCCCTAATCCATAACGATGTGAGTTTGTTGTTTTTGTTGTTTCTGATTTTTGGAAGTAGGGTTTCACTGTGTAGCCATGGCTGTCCTGGAACTCACTCCCAGCCTCAAACTTACAGAAATCCACCTGCCTCTGCCTCCCAAGTAGGGAATAAGCACATGGGCCACCACTGATTAGCAACAATGTGTTCTTTAAAGACACACTTAATAGTCTTTTCTTCATGAGAATGATTAAAATAAATTTAAGGAAAGAACTGTGGGTATGTGATTTGCATAGCACATGATTTTGTGGGGAGAAGAGGAAAAGCTGCTTCCTTGCAGGGTACACTGTGGGTGGTGTGGGCTCATCAACAACCCAGTATTACCAGTCAGAACCACAAATATCAACCATAAACACTAAATAAAAGATACTTCTTTGTAGAAGAGCAAATGTGAAGTGTCACTCGTTCTGAGACCTCGTCCTCTGTGACATTCCATAGTCTTTTTCTACTCATAGATTTTTCCATAGAAAATACTAGCTGAAAGACAGAAAAATATACATGAATTCATTGCAAAATGAAAGATATGGAAAAAGACAGTGACAATTTCATGGACTATATGATATATTAACCATTTGTGACTTCACAAAATAATTCACATAAAATTGAGTTATAAGTAAAAAACATAATTTCCTATAATTAATAGTAAACTGGACATGATAAATTAACTTTGAGCAACTATTATTTATATGAAATATAGAATACAAACTTGATTTGTTATAAATGGAATAAGTGACATTTTAACCACATGCCCAGTCAGCATTTCTTTTTAAATTTCACAAACAAACCATGAAAGGAGTTAAAAATAGGAGAAAAAAATCAGAATAGTTACCTAATTTGTGTCAGAAATATTAACTATAAAACATGGCCTTGGAAGTTAGAAGGTCATGAATATGGCTCCAAGCATTCTTACAATACTGTGTGGAGGGAGTCTAATTTATTATCTACTTCTTATGGTCTATAGGCTAAAAACAACCAATCAGGAGTCCCACAGTTTCCTGATATCATAGAAATTGCTCTATGAAAGTATTATATAACGACCAATACATTTTATAAAGTTATTTCTTGCAGTATTTCTTAAGATACACTATTTCTTTTCTATTTTTATTTTTAATTGAGAGAGTCTCATTATGCAGGCAAAACCGTCTGTCTGAAAACAGTGAAGAGAGAACATATACTGGAAGCCTACTTGGGAATGTGCTACTCACAATGGCTGAGACTGCACAGCAATTAACAAGCAAGATAACCTCCCACAGCCGTGCATGGGACAATCTGATCTAGACAACGCTTCAGTAAGACTTCCTCCCAGGTGATTTTAGGTTGAGAGAGAAAACTATGCAGCATATGCAGAGATTCAAAATGTATTCCAAACTGTCAAAAATGATGAGCATCGGAAAAAGGCAAATTTACTTAAAATGGAAGAGTACAAAAAACTGAAAACTGGCCAGGGAGGAAATGCATCCTTTTCTTCCAGAGCAAAAACTTTCAAAGACAAGGGTGAAATATCCGAAGCAGAGGTTACAAATATGGAGGTATCCACAGCACCGGCGGCCCTAGGTGTACATTTTTTAAATTCCCCCCACCCCCAAGCCAGCTTTGTGCTTCTGAATGGTACAAGGTCCCTCTTGCTCACAAGGAAAGCGTGTGCGGATCTTGAGTATGCAGAGAAAACAGCTTGGGACTTTTACTCCTGGATTACACTACCTGATTTTCTTATATAGCAGCAAAGCAAAAAAATATAAGAGATGCAAGATATGCACTCTGTCCAGGAGTAAAGAATAAGTGTGTGACTGTTGTTTATATATTAATCACAGAGCTTCAAAAGATGTGACTAGTACAACTTTATGTTACTGCAATCACTTCCTAGTGAGTGGAAGGAAGGTCTGTAAAAAAAGTTATTACACAAGTAAACCAGTTAAACCATTCTGACTTGTTATATAATGTTATGATATCATCTTCTGAAAAACTGTTTTAAGGGCCAGTAAGATAGCTCAGCACTTGCCGGGGAAGCGAGACAGCCTGAGTTCAATCCCTGGAATCTATGAAAGATGGGAGATTACTGAATCTGAAAAGTTGTCATCCTCTGACCTCCACAAGATCACCATGGTAGGCGCATGACCTTCACCCCAGCATATGTACATGTGTAATAAATAAACCTTAACCATTATTTCAAAACATATAGCTTTAATATTTAGATTTATTACACAAAAGATCTGTCAGCAAATAGATACAACAAGCTATTTACGCATAATTCTGGCATAAAGAATTATGGAACACCAATATACATGTGCCTAAGATCAACACATATGCATATAATTAAGTAAAGTAGGTAACTTTGATGTCATGAAGAGTTTTTGCTACACTGTACTTACTCTGCGCAGGGCATTTTGAAAGTCATCTGCTAGTTCTAAAGTTGTGATAATAAATATTCCAAGAACCACAAGTCCTCCAGGGAGCATTCTGGACACCTAGAGATAAAAAGACAGTATTAGCTATCAGAAACATGCCAGTCTTTCCTATTTGATACAGTAAACTTTAAATCAGCAAATACCTATCCAGGACCAATTATACATACAGGATCAATCCAGGCAGAGGCAGCGGAAACACTGGAGTATACTATATGCATAACCCTTCCCTGAGCACCCTCAACTCTATAGCTTAAAATCACTTTATAAACAATTTGATAACTTGATTAGGTGCATCAATCCTTTCTCTTAAGATCTGTAAAGTTAGCTTCTGAAATTTTTTCAATGGTCTTCCAACTCTTTGCAAAATAAATATTTTACCTTAGACTGAGATTTTAATCTTCCCAGAATCTGGCCAATGTGATGTTCAGAGACACTGTTGATCTACTTTCTCTGAAACATTCAAGCATCATTCAGAGGTAATCCCTGTTCACAACATATGGCCCTTAGGCTTTTTAATTCTATGCCGTTCCTCAGGCTTTTTCCTCAGCCTAAATTGACTTCTTTTACACTCCTACATCTGAATTCAGTGAGGTAACTTCAAAGTCAACCTGAAGATGTCTTCCCTGGTACTTTGATCATTGAACTTCCATAGGATTGCCCTGTAAAATCATATAGTCTTTGATATGCATATAGTAATCTGCCCTCTATTTATTTTTTCCCTTCACATGATTGTGGCTAGTTTTAAAACTACACATTTTTCTCTGTCACACATTCAGTAACAAGCACTTCTGCTAGGTTTTATAAATAGACTATTGGTATAAGTGAACAATCACAAAGTTAAACCTTAGAAAATTAGATATTAAAGCCTACCTTTTACTATATCAGCACTATGTTAGCTCATAAATTCCATTTAATCACCATGACAAGTATAACAAAGTTCCCATATTTATCATGGGGAACCTATATAGCTTTAAAAATCAATACAAAGTCAACTCTTTCTAGAGGTAAAAATATCAACTACATGTAGCATTATATATATATATGTATATTCATGCTGCATGTATTTGCATATAAATTATACAGGACACGTCAGATTTCATAGGGAAGGTGGAGGTTGCTCAGTGGCTCAAGCACTTGCTGCACAAGCAAAAAGACTGGAGTTCAAATCCCAAGATCCCATGTAAATGTTGGGTGCCATGTGAACTAGCCTGTAATTCCAGGAGAAGGATGGAATCCTTCAATCCCTTGAAGACAGGATTCCCTAGAGCAAGCTGGGTAGCAAAACAAGCTGTATCACTAAGCTCTGGGCTTAACTGAGACTGCCTCAAAGAATAACATGGCAGAGTGAGTAAGGAAGATTACTTTTTTAAACCTTGAGCCTCCACTTACACATATGCAAATAAGTACATACATAAGCATGCATGCACACTACAAACACATGAAAAAAGGAAAAAAATTATAAGACTGCAAAAGTAAATTTAAAATAGAACAATATTTATATATACCAATGGTTATTAAAATAATACCTTCTTTAAAAGATAATAGTATGGCCGGGCGGTGGTGGCACACGCCTTTAATCCCAGCACTTGAGAGGCAGAGGCAAGCGGATTTCTGAGTTCAAGAGTTCGAGGCTAGCCTGGTCTACAGAGTGAGTTCCAGGACAGCCAGGGCTACACAGAGAAACCCTGTCTCGAAAAAGCCAAAAAATAAAAATAAAAAATAAAAAACAAAAAGATAATAGTATTATCTCTTAGAATTTTTTATGATTGTATACTATTTCCCAACCACAAATATATAACATTTATGCATCATTATGCTTTTAAGTTGAAAAGGAAATACAGCATTTCTACTTTTATCTTATTTTAATAATCTTTAGTATTATTCTATGTTACAACTCATTCAAGAAATATTTTTAAATGAGTTATCATATTTATTAGTTTTTCAGCAACCCCTAAGTCCATTTCCTCCTCTCATAACAGCAGTGTTGTCCTCACAAACACCCAAGGGAAAAATCTCAGCCAGAATCTCAGCCGTCCTTGGCTATTTGTCTTTTCTAAGTTTCTTTACTGACAATCCACTTAGTCACTGAATTTTCATGACTCTTTTTCTGAAATTACTAATGAAGTTTAAGCCAATTTATTCACACATTTTTAATTAAGTATTTCATAAGTCACATTATAAACCATGGAAATGCTATGCTAGGCTCTCGGATTACAGTCATAAATACAAGAAATGTAACTCTTGCCCTCATAAAGCTCAGAATCCAGTTTAGGCTAACACTCTCATTGGACTACTGCTTTAGATATACAGTTTCTCTTCTGTCTCCAGACTCTACTCTCCATGAATACTGTGCCAATATCAATATTATCTTATAAATTACTGGCAAATTGATTGCTTTAACTTTTTTAATAAAAATAGGTAGATGTAAAAGTTTATCACTGTATTTCTTAATATAATACTTTTATTAATACTCTGAGAATTGTATGCAGTATCTCTGATAATATTCATCCCCCACTCTTCCCAGATCCAGTCCCAATACTCTACACTCTTCCTACTTACATGCCACTTGTGGTGGTTTGAATAGATATGGCCCCCATAGACTTGTGTTTAAATGCTTGGCCCATGCATGGCGAGTGGCACTGTTAGGAATCGTGGTCATGTTGGAGTAGGTATGGCTTCGCTGGAAGAAGTCTGTCACTGTGAGGGTGGGCTTTGAGGTCTCTTGCTCAAGCTCTGCACAGTGTGATACACAGACTCCAGACGATCCAGATGTAGAACTCTCAGCTTCTTCTCCAGCACCATACCTACCATGACCCTCACCATGACAATAATGGACTAAACCTCTGAGACTGTGAGCCAGCCCCAACTAAAGGTTTTTCTTTATAAAAGTTGCCTTGGTCACTGTGTTTCTTAACAACGATGAAACCTAATTAAGACAACCTCTCCTTCTTTTATATTATATATATTTTTAAGTAACACAGTGAGTCCAATTTGTACTGCCCATATACTCACAGGTGTGGGCTCATACAATGGAGCCTGACAGATTTACTGGTGGCCACATACATATACTTTTTTTAAGGCTGCATCTCTAAAAATCATGACTGCCTGCCCATACCACTGGGCTTTTGTCTACCAAGTGTACTTCTTAGGACTACATTCCAAAGCCACTCATAAACAAGCCTTGTATTTAATTACATTTTGCTACATGCTCTGTGTTTCAACTACCAAACGGCCCAACTGCTTGCTCTTTTCCTAGTATTGTGTCTGTGTCATTTACTCACATTGTATTGCCCTTGATGTATTGAATGTGTTCTCTGACTTCTTCAATTAACAAATTCCTAAGAACCATCCATGTTCAGAGCCTTCTCTAAAACTGTTTTAATCAGTGGCATGAATTTAAGGAAAAATACTCTTAAAATTTTAGTCTTGTGACCCAGGAAACATTTGTTTTTCTTTTGTTTATAATGAGATCATATTACCTGGCTGGCATGTTCTGTGGCCCATTCTTCATCCAAATTATCCAACTTAGCTCTCGGATGTTTGAGGTTGTCATTTTGTTCTTCTTTGGGTGGTGTTCTAGTGGCAAGAATCACATAATCCTTTTGTGAAGAACACTTTAAAAACAAATTGTAAAAGCTTATTTCAGTTATAGCTCACTGAAGAGTTAGATACATCATGCAAAAACTAAACAGTATTTACACAATTTATACTGTTAATATTCTACTCTTGGGTACTGATTTTAGTCTTTCATATGTTATCTATCTTTAATGTACGTAATAGCAACTATTTACTTGGACATCCATAATATAAATTACAGAGTGGTCTTTAGACCACTAGATTCTAGAACAGTGGGTGTAATTCAGTTGGTACAATGATTGTCTAACACGTATAAGGCTCTGGTATCAATCACCAGAACCAAGTCAACCAGGCATGATGGCATACAGATGCAATCTAGCACATTCAGGAAGTACAAACAGTAGTTCAAGCTCATCCTGGACCACAAAGAATTGGAGGCTGGTCAAGGCTATACAAAATTGTGCAACAAAATTTTGTTGTTGTTGTTGTTGTCGATGATGAATGTGTAAGTGAACTGACATAACTAAAATATAATATGCTTAGTCAATATTTTAATAATTTTACTTATTTTCTCTGTAATTTAGATGGATTGGATGTTTAGCAAACACAAAAATCTCATTTACAAAGTGACAAATGACCTTGTTTATTTTACTTGGATTTTAATAATTGAAAAAAATTACACTGATGCATCAAAAGAACAAAGGGGATTCAGAACAAAATTCAAAGTTGTTTTTCATTACAGCATGACTCCCCTAAATTAGCTAATAAAGCTCATACTCTTACATTAGAATGGCGTTCTCTCCAAATATGACCTGAAACTCTCTAGTGATCATTAGCATCATCTTGAAATAAGTATTATTTCCAGAAAATCATTTTCAAACTTATATAAAAGAGTGTATTGCTTGATTAAAGAGGTGTCTCTTAGGGCTGGGACCCCATTTCACTTGGGTCATTGCAAACCTGTCCCCTTTTATAATATACTTTGTAGCCTAGTCCCTTAACCTGCAGTAACCATGCACAAAGACCTCTCTCCTAGCAGCCTCCCCCCTTCAGGCCCTATCTGCATCAAGCTACATATTTCTTCCATCTCTAAGCAACAATATAGATTTCCTTGTCCTTGGGAAGAATTACATTAGCTAGTTTCTATTTAAGTGTATTCTCAACATAAGAAGAAACAAAAATGTCCAATGAGCCTAAAATGGTTTTAAGTGTGTGTGCAGTTAGATACACTGTCCATCAAGTGAACATTTCAGAAAAAAAATCTTATACCTATGCATTAAATTGAATTTATCAAGTGGATTATGAGGAAGGACAGGTACTTTTGGGAAAATGAATATCAGACTTTATAACCTAGCAACCAAAATAGGCAACCACCCAACCACGAAACCGACATTCTTCGAGGCCAGAATGCTCATCTTTTGAACCCCATAAAACTAAGCCACAAATATAATTTGGACACTTATCTCCCTCGAGTGGCCTGCAGTGAATCTGGATTCCTGCTTTGCTCCTTACAAAGTTATCTTGTCACATTTGCAAATGTGTGTCCTTATTTTCAATTATTTGGATAAGAAGCCAAGAACTTGGAAAGAACTGATCCTGACTTTGACCACAACCACCACAACCAGTAACTCAGGGGATGAAACTTAGGGTGTTATTTACGTATATTGGACCAACTGAGCTGTATATCCGGTCCAAAACACAAAGAATGAAAAATGTGAATCATCTGGTCAGTGAATGCTTAAATTGTGACCTTTTGACATTATAAGTTACTTTCAAAGTACCAAAAGGAAAAATGATCATACTTATTTAAGCTTTGGCCATGTTTCCTACTCTTTCAAATATTCACTCAAAGATACACTTTAGGTTAACTTTTTAAGATTATGTTTCTTCCACATCACAACTTTGAATTTACTAGTAAATGGTATATTTAATTGAAACTAATGAGTAATTTGTTTTTATCAATCTGCAGTGTAGCAGACATATACATACCTGTCCTATCAAAAGACCAGAGACAAAAGGTTTTCCCTGGAGGCTAATACTTGAAAGATACTGACCAACAGTCTCTTCTACAATGTAGGTTCTTCCCATTATTGACAGCCAATTAAACAGCCTAAATTACAAGAAATAAAAGTTAGCATTCTGGGGAGGAAATTTGTGATGTTATACCATTGGTGGACAGGCAATAGAACCAAAAAGTGGCCCAATCCCAAAACTGTTCTACGTCTTGCAGTGATCATTTACTAAATAGGGCATTCTTTTTTTGTACAACTGAAATGTAGCTTCGGAATTCTTAGTACAGTGCTGTAAGAAACAACTCCCTGGGGGCCGGAGGGATGGCTTAATGGTTAGGAATGCTTGCTGCCTTCCACAGAGCTTGAGTTCAGTTCTCAGCATCCAAGTCCAGTGGTGCACAAATGCCTTCAGCTGCAGCTCCAGCAACTCTGACCCCCCACTCCTCATGTCTGCACACATGTAGCATACTCACACAGATATACCTACCAAATGATAATAAACCCAAAAATCCTTTCGGAAAAGAAAGGAAGGAAGGGATAAGAGTCCCAGCCAGATATGGTGCTGCAAGCCTGGAACTCCAGCACCCCAGATGCTGAAGCAGACTTAATGCCTTGAGCTGGAGTTCAGCCAAAGCTATATATTGATTCTGGGACAATCTGATCTAAATAGTGAAACCCTACCTCAAAAGACACAGAAAGAAAACAAACCAACAATAACAAATATCATAATTACCAATTAGCCATGAGAAAGCAAAGTTATTTCTCACTCTTGGGATAAGGAAATAATGAAACCATTAATCACCACATCTAATTTCTTATTTTAGATCTGCCCCTTAGCTGCATCCTCTTCAATAATTTATTGAACTTCGATGTTCTCATTTCTAAAATACAAGAGCTGAATTTCTAATTAGTTCGTTAAGAGGTAGAGAGACTCAAGTTTGTTTACCCAATGTCTACTGTAAAATTACTATTTTCTACAAATTGTGTGAGGTGGGAAGACACAAATGTGAGTAGTATGGCCGCTGCTATGAGACAATTCATGATAACAGCCACTTAGGTAGACGGTAATACAATGACAATTATCTATATTGCTTCTGTTCTATATGGGACATTTTTTTAAAGTACTTCACAGCTACTGATATTTAACACAAATTCCTGCAAAGTAAGCACTATTCTTGCCATCTCTGTTTTATACATAAAGAAATCAAAAGAAAATGTTAAATAACTCCTCAAAATGACAAACTAGTGAGTGGGAAAGGTGGAATTTAAATTGCTCACGCTGGCAAGGAACACTAGGTCCTTCAATTAAATTGCTGCAAGGAACACCTCCTGTTCTCTTCTTCAGCTTGTGAACAGAAACTAATATAATATCCCTACTAACTTAATCCCTCCCACCCCCTTCGTTAAGTCAGAGCCTGACTACTAACACAGGCTGTCCTGGAATGATAACCCTCCCACCTCTTAATCCCAGTAGCTGAGATACCAGTAGCTGAGATCACAGGCATGTGCTATCCTTATTTCCAATCAAGTGTTAACAAATTCTTCCAGAAAAATAACCAGCCATGAAACAAAGTACATACTGATACTGCTGAATCGTGATCTGGAAACAAACATAGTTCTGTTACTGTAGCAAAACGACAAATGTCTCAATAAAACTGTCTTAAAATGTTTTCCTATTTAAAACGTCAACATCAGACATTTGTAAGCAATGTCCTCTTACTACATAAACAACAAAAGTCTTGATTTCTTTGTTTAAAATATTAACCAGACTACTTTAATTCGCAGCAAATCATTAAGTACTTCACACCCACAAAAGCATGTAGTAGGTACGAGGTTTGACGTAGGCTAATCTCCTCAGAACGCTTGAGTGTGCATCAGAGTGACTGTTCCATATGTTCCCTATATCCTTTCTTTTCTCCCCCCTGAAAAGGAAGCTGTTGGTGCCCGAGTGAGCACACAGTCCTTGGCTGACTCACTTGTTCTGAAAATGTACACATGTGGCAAAAAAAGTCCCTCGAACCTTCTGTCAGCAAGAGAACTCGGGTTAGGGTACAAGTAGCTACCTTCAAAGGCCAGGTGCCACTCAGGTCCCACTTCCACAGCCAATGATTTCATCAGAAAGCGACAGTAGACACTTCCTACTCCAAACCTGGGTCTCGGCACCAACGGGCGCAGACTGATGACGCTAGTCGTCCGCACCCATCTCCGCAGCTCTTCTATCACAGCGAGTGAGGCCTGCACCCCGCCCCTTTCGGGGCACCATTGAGATCGTGGCGGTAGCCCAGAGCCTGTCGAGACGCCCTGCCGTGATCCATGCCCTCTAGTGGCTCAGTTTCTAGAAGTGGCCACAGAGGAGTACTCATGACATCGCGGAGTTTTGACGGTAAGGTCGTCTTGCTCCTCGGGGAAGGACGAGGGTTGCTGAGTACTTATATAGCGCCACCGCGTGGACACTCCTCACAGCCATTGGAGGGGAGCCTCGGGCGGCGGGAAAGAAGGAAGTGGAACGGGAGGTGCGGGCTGAGCTAGCGGAAACGGGTGAAAAATACACTACGTTTCCCAAGAGCCTTTGGGTCTGGAAACCAGTGAAACCAAAAGAACTGGAGCAGAGGCTGCTGTGAACTCGCGTTCCCAGCGTGCATAGCTTCCGGCGGCTGCGTGCGCATAGAGGGCGCGGAGGCGCGGCCCTTCCTACGTCTAACGCGGGACTCTATTTCCCAGGGTCCCGCCGCGGGAGTCTTCGGCGGGCAGGCGCGCGGGAGGCTGCGAGTGAGGCAGCGGACGGAGCGGCTCAGGCGTTTGGGCTCCGTACTTCTCCTTGCTCCTTCGCTTCTCCTTCAGTCGCTGCTGCCACGACCCCGGCCGACATGGCGGCGGTGTTGCAGCAAGTGCTGGAGCGCCCGGAGCTGAACAAGCTACCTAAGTCTACCCAGAACAAACTTGAGAAGTTCCTGGCTGAACAGCAGTCCGAGATCGACTGCCTGAAGGGGCGGCACGAGAAATTTAAGGTGGAGAGTGGTAAGTGAGGAGCTCTTCGCGCTCTCCTTTGGAACTGTGGCTCGACCTTCCTCTCTGCACGCTTGCACTCTCCCCTGTGAGGTGTGCAGGTAGCATCTTCTCAGGCTCCATATGCAGTATAGGCCTTCTCTTTTCTCCTCGCTGTGTGATTTTTTTTAAAGGGGTGGGGGTGGGGTGGGGGGAGGGAACCTCCCAGGTCGAAATCCACCTTCGTTCATCTTGTTTTCCTTTTACTTAGCGTGGGCTTTATGTGGGAATTCCTAACACGGGCCCACCGACAGAAACTGTGGAGAATTTGGGCCAATTTGAACCAGATTTTTAGGACTGTGCAAACCTAATCTAATTCTGTTTGGTTGTACGTTAAATGACATTAATTCCCCCCTTATTTTCTACTTGCCTGGATTTATAAGCCTTTACCCATTTCACCTCTTCGATGCCTCGTTCGTGGTCTTGATAATAAAGTACATGGTCGCAAAGATGAATTTGTATACAAAAAGACAGCACTAGAAAAAGCAGTGAAGCCGGGCGGTGGTGGCGCACGCCTTTAATCCCAGCACTTGGGAGGCAGAGGCAGGCGGATTTCTGAGTTCGAGGCCAGCCTGGTCTACAGCGTGAGTTCCAGGACAGCCAGGGATACACAGAGAAACCCTGTCTCGAAAAACCAAAAAAAAAGAAAAGAAAAATCAGTGAAATTGGGCTATTTGAGTTGGATATATGGTGTTTCTCTCAGAGCGTTGAGACTTGATAGGAAATATATAATAAAAAGATATGCTTGTAAGTTCTTGGAGTTGCTTTTATATAAGAAAGTTATGGACTTAGTAGCTTGAATATCCTTGGAAGAAAGAAAATAGTGATTTATAAAACAGAATTTTTTGTTACATTTTTTAGTTTATCATTGAGGGAATGGAGTCTGTATTTTGATAAATTGGTTAGAAGTTTCCACCTGATTTACTCTTTTTCTTCAATAAAGTGTCGCTGTTAAGCAAAGTTGATGAGTAAAAATATCCAGTTATTTTGTGATTCTAAGAAATTTGTATAATACACTGTATTCTGTTTATTAATTTACACACAGTCAAAACTGAGTGATTTATGTGTCCCGATACTGGGATGAAGTAGATAAATGCAGTGGGAAGTCTGCAGGTTTATTTTTACAGAAATTTATGTAGGTATAATTTAAATTATTTTTACATTAAACCTTTTAAAGCAATGTACTTTTTGGTTTTTCGAGACAGGGTTTCTCTGTATAGCCCTGGCTGTCCTGGAACTTACTCTGTAGACCAGGCTGGCCTCAAACTCAGAAATCCGCCTGACTCTGCCTCCCAAGTTCTGGGATTAAAGGCGTGCGCCACCGCTGCCTGGCGCAATGTACTTTTAAAGTATTTTTTTATTTATTAAATAACTTATATTTAAAAGTTTATCAATTTCCTGAAGTCTGGAGTAAATACCAAGATATGACATTGCTGCCTGCCTACATGAAATTAATTTATGAATCTCCTTTTCGGCCATGTTGTCTTTTGTTATCTGCCAGTTGAGAATAATGAGACAGTCCTTTTCAATGTTTAAGCTGTTTATTGAGATTACATTTTCCAGTATTGGATCTTAAGTTTTGCAGTCAGTATTAGAAGTAAATAGTGGTATTAATATTGCTTTCAAGGGCATGTGTTCGTGATGTTATTCTTAGTGCTTGGACTTATCTTTTGTAGAACAACAATACTTTGAGATAGAGAAGAGGCTGTCCCAGAGTCAGGAGAGGCTTGTTAATGAAACCCGGGAGTGTCAGAACTTGAGGCTGGAGCTTGAGAAGCTGAGTAAGTATTTGATTATATCTTTATAACTGTTCTTGGATGCCCAGTTACACCTTTGTGAAAATCGCATAGGCAGGGAGCCTGCCCCTCCTGGAAACAGACTTTCCAGGTAGCAAAGCCCTAAACAAGGTCACAACAAGGTAAGAAACACCTAGCTCTCCTGCCTTCAGGCCCAGAGGTAGACTGATCACACTATGGACTCCAAAATTGTGTTATTTACTAGAAAAACCTGGTTTTAGTTGTAGTGTGGCTCAGCCATGGCATACACTTTTAATGTGAGTAGCTTTCTGTTTGAGTGAATATTGTAAACAGGCGAAGCAAGCAACCAGTTGACAGGAAGTAAACTTGGGATTATTAAGAAAAAAAGAGTAAGAGGAAGTTAGCATGTAGAAGGGAGGAACATTAGGTTTAAAGGAGGGTTTTTTGTTTGTTTGGTTTTGGGTTTTTTTTTTTTTTTGAGATATCATGAGAGGGGCGTTCATTCTGGGACTTTGGCAGGGTGCTTTCTCTGCCTCTCTGAGCTTGCAGACTTTTACCCCAGCATCCAGCTCCCGAGTCTCATTTGTTAATAGAAAACACAGACCACTTTTACATCTCACAAGTCATATAATTTCCTCATCCTAAATGTTTGGGGCCTTCTAAACACCTTCCTCAGCCCAAACCACAAAAGCATAGTGGTTTTAGTCTAATTTAATAGTGTCAACAGACCTTGGGCCCACACTTCCCACTCACTACTTCCTCACAGGAACCTTAAAAGAACACACTGCTCTCTCTGAGAGAGCCTAAGCTTTCCTTCACTGTCCTCTGAGTAAAGACATTCAGGCCATGCCTTCTCAGTGCCTTCTCTCTCCCTAAAACTAACACTCTGAGCATCTACTTGCACGATGGGAGAATGCTCAGGAGGTTCCTCAGGAGCCGCTGTAGTTTGTGTTCCTATCATTTGTTCTTCACTCAGTAAAGCCGTGGTAAGGACATTGGCTGTCACAGTCTGAAAACCTGGTTTCTAATTCTGCTGGTAATAAAAGTGTTCTTGCCACACGTGCCGTTCACAGATGGCTAGGCTTTTTTAAAAAGGATGAAAGTTGTCAGAAGCACATGTATTTACATAGCTTTACACATCAAAGATACTTCGATTGAAGCAGCTAAGAAGATTTAAATGGTGATTTGTTTTCATAATAAAAATTTAGAGCTGGGCGGTGGTGGCTCACGCCTTTAATCCCAGCACTTGGGAGGCAGAGGCAGGTGGGTTTCTGAGTTCGAGGCCAGCCTGGTCTACAGAGTGAGTTCCAGGACAGCCAGAGCTACACAGAGAGAAACCCTGTCTTGAAAAAACAAAAACAAAAAATTAAAACCTACTGATTTCATTATTTCTTGTAATAACTTTTATAACTACGAGTCCAGTATATTTCCTTTATGAAGCCTGACTCCTAAGAAAGCGTTTAGGTAAAGTCTGTGACCTTCATAGAAGAATGCCACCTTTTCTACTTTTCTTATGGCAGAAAAAAACTTAAGGGAAAGGCTTTTTTAAATATAGCTTAAATTTTTTTTTATTTGATTTGATTTCATCAAAAAGGAATACAAGAAGCTCATAATCAAGTGGTTAAATAAACTTCAACTTTTTTGTAGCTGTTTGGTTTATAACTCCTTCAGCTACTTTTGATGCACTAGCATTTAAAGAAAAATCTGTATATAACACACACACACACATCTGTGGTTCACAGCCTATACATTGCTTTTCTTTAACAAAGCATAATAAGGCTTGCCCAAAAATGTTGCTAAAGAACATTAGGAGAATGGCTCGGATTACTTCCTTTATGAGGTATAAGTGAAGATATGAGTGAATGTAGACAAAAAGGATTCCTTCTTATGGAGGACAGTTGTACTTGAAGTGTGTGTGTCTGTGTACACAATTACAGAAAATAGTAAGTAAAACAAAATAAAAAATCTAGAGTAACAGGTTGGTATTCCTTTACAGTGATAGAGTTTTTTTAATTCTGTTAAATTACCTGTGCATAGGAACTGGGGAGATGGCTCAAGTGATTTAAGAGCACTTACTGCTCTCCAGGACCCAAGTTCAGTTCCCAGCTCCTACATCAAGTAACTGACAAGCCCACAACCTTCTAAAATTCTAGCTCCTGGGCATCTAAAACTTTGTGATTCCCTTGGACAACTGTACACACATGGCTTCTACTTAACACAGGCACACATGTATGCACATAATAAATGAAAAGAAATCTTTTAAATTGCTTGTACATAATGTAGGATTTGCTTGTTTCCTCTTTGAAGCAAGGTC